ATGATAATGATGATAATGATGATAATGATGATAATGATGATAATGATGATAATGATGATAATGATGATAATGATGATGATGATGATAATGATGATAATGATGATAATGATGATAATGATGATGATGATGATAATGATGATAATGATGATATTTTAAATGAAGAAGAATCAGAATGTCAAGAACAATTACCATTACCATCATTAGAAGAAAATGAACAAGGAGATGTTCTGTTTTTTGAGGAAAATAATGGGGAGAGGAAAAAAAAAAATTAATATTTCAAATCCTGTGAACACTGACAGATTATATAAAAAAATAATTTCAACATTATATAAATCAATAAACCATTATTGGTCTGATCCTTTTGTCTTAGCAATGCTCACATCAACATTAGATCCAAGGTTCAAACATTTGAAATTTCTTGATGAAAGAACACATTTAAGAATATTACAAACATTAAAAATTCAATATGAATTAATCAAAGAACAACAACAACATGATAGCAGTCCTTCTGGCAGTCCTTCTTGTTCAAGAAGTGTAATCCTTCCTTCAAGAAATAACTCCAATGAAAAAAAAATCAGTTTTTGATAATTTATTTGATGATCTACAACAATATGAAGAATCACAAAGTGAATACGAAAAATATTTTTCTTTGCCAACTGCTTCCAGACAAGTAGATCCAGTGATCTGGTGGAATGATAGAAAGGATGAATTTCCTATCATGTCAATTCTAGCAAAAAAATATTTATGTATCAATGCAACATCTGTACCTTCTGAACGTTATTCTCTGATGTGGGAAATCACATAACATCATGAAGGAACAAATTATCCCATGATGTTATTTCCAAGATATTATTTTTGAAAATAATATTTCTGTTTTTAATAATTAAAAAAATTTTTTTATTGATATTAAATATTTTTAACATTTTTTTTACATTTTTATTATATTTATTTTTTTAATGAATATTTGGTTAAATAAATTATTACTATATTAGGTATTTGATCTACGAATTTCATGAATCTCATGAATTTCATGCAGATTGTTTCGTGAATATCGAATTTCATGAATGCAACCACTAATTTATTGCATATTAATATGCAATAAATCAATAATAATTATTATTATTTGTCAACCACATCCAAATACAATACAATTTCTTAAATAGGAATAAACACACTGGTCTTGGGGAAATTCTTGCTCCTAGTAAAAAAAAATGAATGAAGGTATTTTTTCTTACACAGAAAATAACTATTTTAAAAATATGTAGTATTTTTTACATCATGATTTAATATTTTGCTTTATAATAAAAATAATAGCTAAATTCTATAAAGGTAAATAAATATTTTACAACATAAAATAAACATCATCTAAGTAATTAATTTGTTTTTTTATTTCTTTATAATAACCAGGGAGTAAGTATTATATTATAATTTAACTTTTACAACACAAAATAAACATCATCTAATTAAATAATTTGTTTTCTTATTTCTTTATAATAACCAGGGGGTAAGTATTATATTATAATTTAACTTTTACAACACAAATTAAACATCATAATCAAATAATTTGTTTTTTTATTTCATAGAGAGTAAGTATTATATTATAATTTAATTTTACAACACAAAGTAAACATCATCTAATTAAATAATTTGTTTTTTTGTTTCATAGATTGTAAGTATTATATTATAATTTAACTTTTACAACACAAAATAAACATCATCTAATAAGTAAATTTGTTTTTTATTTCTTTATAACCAGATTGTAAGTATTATATTATAAATTAACTTTTATAACAACTAACAACTAAATAAAATTAATTTTTATTTCCTTATAATAACCAGCTGGTAAGCATTATATTGTATTATAAATCAATTTTTATAATTTTTATATCTAATTAATAAGTTTATTTTTATTTATTTATAATAACCAGCTGGTAAGTAGTATATTATAAATCAACACAAAATTAATTTTATTAAAACATCATCTAATTAATAAATCTTTATGATAACCAGGGAGTAAGTATCATATTATGAAATTAACTTTTACAACACAATAAATTTTATTAAAATATCAACTAATTAATAATTTATTTTTTTTATAATAACATAATAACCAGCATGTAAGTAATTTTTACAACACAAAATAAATTTTTATAACATCATCTAATTAAATATTCTTTATTTTTTCATAATAACCAGCTGGTAAATATTATATTATAAAATAACTTTTACAACACATTATCTAATTAAATAAATTTATTTTTGTATTTATAATAACAATTGAAGGTAAAATAATTTATAAATTTATCTTTTTTATAACTTTTAAATGAATGTCTATTTTTATTATATTGAAAATTAATTCTACCTTGTTTTTAATTTATATTAAAAATGAACGAATTGGAAGAATTGAAAAATTTGAAATCTGTATTGCAGATCCTTTATCACGTGATACTAATAAAGAGAATGCAATGTGCCAA